TGTCCACAGCGAAGCTTGTGGCGCCCTCCGATGCGCCCTATCTAATATCGGGTGCAAGAACAGCTTCGCCAATCCCACGCCTCTGGCAGAGCCTGCTACCAAAGACCTCGTGGGCCAGATTCAGCAGGAGTGGTAGAGGGTTGAGGAGGAGAAGTGTGAGGGGCGAGTAGGGAGAGGAGGGAGGAGTGCGAGTAGGGATGGAGGGAGGAAGGGAGGAGGTGGGTGGAGTAGAAAGATTCGGGGTGAGGACGAGCAGGAAGAGGAGCGAAGCAGGATGAGAAACGGTGGAGTTGGCGAAAGCTTGAGGGAGGCTGGGAGGTTGGGAGGGTGAAGGATAACGGACCAGTGTAAACCCAAGACCCATCAACGATATTGCAATAAACCCTCCCTCCAAGCTCCCTCTTCACAGGCCCCAGACAAGTATTCGTGTTCACTGATGGAAGTGCCCCATTAGAAGGCAACCTTTTGAACATCCTGAACTACGGCAGAAAACCCTTATTTGGTCTTCAGCGACACGAATCACCATTACGGTTGCGTCTTGGCTATTTCGAATCGTGCCAAAATACCGTTCTTCGGAGTCCAACACCGCGAGTCAACGTAATTGTTGCGTCCTGACTGCACGACATCATGCCAAACACAGTTTCTCGGACGGTGCCCGCTAGAGCCCTTGAAACTGCTATCAACTCTGATAGCGAATGTGCGTGGCGCTAAGGCGAGAGTCGCATTTCGAAAAAGACCAGCCCACCATCCATGAACGTCCGGCGTTATGGCGAGAGCCACAGTTTGAAAGCGACCCGCCCCCCACCCGCAACTTTTGCAATCTGTCAGGACAAATGCGCCCGGCGTTACGGCGAGAGCCACATTTTGACAGCGGACCGCCCTCCATCCGCGAAATCTTTGCAATTGTTCTAAGCGTATGTGGGCGACGCTAATGCCACAACCACACTTTGAAAGTGGTCCACCCTCCATCCGTGAACCACTTGCAAATCTTCAGCTTAACTATTATAAACAGTGAGAAATCGGCGTCACCCCAACATACTTCTACTGTATGTGCGTCGCTTCCCCAGGGGCGACGCGCGCACCGAGAAATCTTATAGTATATGCGTCGTGGCGGGCGCTTTCTGGCCACACCGCTCGAGAAACGATATACTACAAGATCGGTATACCACATGTTCGGGTCGGACGCGCGCCTCCAAGGCGGACATGTGGTATTAGCATGTCTCTGTGCGTCCCAAGAAAGTATCAGGCAAAACGCCCGGCCCTCCCTGCCGACACGCCTCCGGGTGCGATTGCAATATGCTTTTCCGCCTCAAGCTCTCTCTTCCTCATTTCGTACAAGCGTTCCTCTCCACTGCTGGGAGCGCCCCACTCCGGCGAGATCCCGTGTTGTAAAGGATCCACCCTGCATCTTTCTGGCTAAGAGGCACGCAAATAGGTAGCAGGATGGAAAGGTTCAGAGATGTGTCCAGTAACAGCCTTTTGTTTAACATATTTGCCTTGCGTCCGTGCGTTACACATCTCAAAGGTCCGTTCGCGCAAATATGAGGCCATAGCCGCATGTGAAAATGTTGCATAATTTAGAAGCCAGGTCGTAGAATCGAAGCCGTGTGAAGCGGGAGACCCTCTTATATTCTGATGTCCAGGTTATAGCTAGCGTAAGTTTGAAGAGAGAGCCGCGTGTTGAAAAGGAGGCGGCCTCCATCTGGCGAAGGCAAGTCGGCCTCCATCTTTCTAATTGGTTGAAAGTTTGGGAGCGGATGCGCGCGGCGCTTAGGCGAGATCCGCATGTTGAAAAACATTGGCCATCCATCCTTGGAGCGCCTCAAACGTTTAAAGCGAATGATACCAGAGAAACAAATCCAAGCATAATTCTTTACATAGACTCTGCATAAAAGGGTTCTTATCCTCTATCTTAAAGGGGCCGGGCAGTGTAGAACGCCCTGGGCGGTTTCCCCGGCATCCGCCCTGCGGTTCCCCCAGTCCCTTCGGAGCTGTAGCTTTAGCTTTAGCTTTAGCTTTACCTTCAGCTTAGCTTTATCATAGCTTTAGCTTATCTTCAGCTTAGCTTTAGCCTAGCTTTAGCTCAGCTCTAGCTTAGGTTTAGCTTAGATGTAGCTTAGCTTTAGCTTTGATTTAGCTTAGCTTTAGCTTAGCTGTAGCTTAGCTTTAACTTAGCTGTACCTTAGCTTTACCTTAGATGTAGCTTAGCTGTAGCTTAGCTTTACCTTAGCTTTACCTTAGCTGTTGTTTAGCTGTAGCTTAGATTTAGCTTAGCTTTAGCTTAGCGTTAGCTTAGGGTTAGCTTAGCTTTAGCTTAGTTTCAGCTTAGCTTTAGCTTAGCTGTATATTTGATTTAGTTTAGCTGTAGCTTAGCTTTAGCTTAGATATAACTTATATTTAGCTTAGCTTTAGCTTAGCTTTAGCTTAGCTTTAGCTTAGCTTTAGCTTAGAATATACAGCTTAGCTACGGCTTAGCTACGGCTTAGCTTTAGCTTAGCTTAGATGTAGCTTACCTTTAGTTTAGCTTTAGCTTAGCTTCAGCTTTAGCTTAGCATTAGCTTGGCTTTAGCTTAGCTTTAGCTTAGCTTGACCGTTGGTACTAATGCTGCTTTCTCAGGGGCTCCAACTTCTAGGTAGGGTCGCATTGGGATGATCTTTTTAGGGCTGTAGGGCTATAGGGCTACAGGGCTATATGGGCTCTTGGGCGCTATATGGGCTATATGGCTATATGGGTTTAGGGCTATAGTGCTATAGGGCTATAGAGCGATAGGGATATAGGGCTATAAGGCTATAGTGCTACAGGGCACCGGGCACCCGGGCACCCGGCACCCGGCGCCCGGGCACCCACCCGGGCACGGGGCACCCGTCACCCGGGCACCTGGGCACCCGGGCACCCGGGCCCAGCCACCGAATCGGCGGCACACCTCACCTACCTTTTTATCCGCTAGGACCCCTACAGAGGCAAGCTCTGATTGGGGAATGGTCGCCGTGATAAGGCGAGAGCCGCACTTTGTATGAATGGCTTGCTCTCCGTCCTCATAGTTGCTGGAAAAGTTGGGGCACAAATGCGGGCGGCGCTGTTCCGAGAGCCGAATGTGTGAGAATGACCGGCTCTCCATCATGGTGGTTGTTGGTAATTTCCTAACCGACTGTGCGCGGCGCTAAGCACAAAGGCAAGAGACGTTTCCCTCCATAATTTGTAGCAGCTCGAGGTTCTGTAGCTTCAGGACCTCTAATCGGAGGGAGTCTCCAGCGAGACGCCTAGTCCTCCGGCCTACGGACAAGTTTGGTGTTGCGGTAAAGGATGTATTTTTATGCAACGGGAATCGAGCGGAGGAGCAGAAGGAGGGGGGGGATGGAAGAGGATTAGTTGTGTTTTGTTGATTTCAAAGTTGATTGACCTGTGAGCCTGTCATCAGAGGCCGGCACGCGACTGGCAGAACATGAGTCAGATTAGAGACTCCGCACGGGCACCAAGGAGTTCTGAGAGCAGTGTCCTTCTCACCCCCTATGCCATCATCCATCCGACAGACCCCACTCCTCAAATCAAGCAGCCGGGCAGGCATCGACTTCCGTCTTGAGGATGGGGATGGAGGGAGAGGAGCGAGAAGGCAGGAGCGGGAGCGGCAGGGCGCGAGTCCGCCAGAGCTTGGGCCTGCGGGCGCCTTTTTCTTTGACGGGCCGGCCTCTGAAGCCGGACGGACCAGTCTTCGTGGGATGTTTGCACCTGGAGGAGGAGGAGGAGGAGGAGGAGGAGGAGGAGGAGGAGGAGGAGGAGGAGGAGGAGGAGGAGGAGGAGGAGGAGGGAGGAGGACGAGGCAGGAGGAGGAGGAGGAGGAGGAGGAGGAGGAGGAGGAGGAGGAGGGGGAGGAGGAGGAGAGGAGGAGGGAGGAGGAGGGAGGAGGAGGAGGAGGGAGGAGGAGAGGAGGAGGAGGAGGAGGAGGAGGGGAGGAGGGAGGAGGAGAGGAGGAGGAGGGAGGAGGAGGAGGAGGAGGAGGAGGAGAGGGGGAGGAGGAGGGGAGGAGGAGGAGGAGGGAGGAGGAGGAGGACGAGGGAGGAGGAGGGAGGAGGAGGGAGGAGGAGGGAGGACGAGGGAGGAGGAGGGTCGTGTTCCTGCCGGCCCCGTCGGGCCTCATCCGCGTCTCCCGGGCCCGAGTCTGATGCGGCTCCTCGACTCGTGAGCCCGACGTCGAGCAGCCGGCGCACAGGCTTGGGGGGCAAGATCTGTACGTATCCATATCCAGCGCGGTGCGTTTTGGACTTCCTGGACGGGGCGCCACGAGGCCGAGGGGCCCTGGAGGTGGATAGGAATCGAGCCTCCAGGGGCCAGATTTCGTCACCCATGTGCAGTGCCTCTCGGGATCCTGGAGACGGGGGCCCGAAAATTCAAGCTGCAGTGGATATTGGCACAAGTCTTGCCCGCACTCGGGCAGTGGCGACGCGTCCTTGCTTGCCTATAGGCCAACCGAAGAATGTTATGCTAACCTTTTGTGGCTTGCGCGAAGTGTTAATAGAACGTGTTTGCTTGGGACAGTCTGGTTTCAAACGTCGGCTCTATGCTCTGAGATCACCGCCTGCATCAGTAGAGCATACACTGCCGTTTTTAATACATGCTCCGCGTGCGGATCATGTATCAAACATGCAGGGATTCAAAAACAGCGATGATTTCACGCATAAATGCATTCATACATTAATCATGTCTTGAAAATCCGATATGTTTAAAACATCCTGTGCATTGAAAGTTGCCCTGCATCTTTGTGATCGAAGCGTGCCGCGGTAGGCATATAGGAATGCTGGGACGCTCGTCACCACCCACCAAACCACCCCAACCCAACCTGAAGGCCTCAATTTGCCCTCCATTTCCAGTTGGGGGGGGGGGGTCGGGGAACATTGAAACAACAAATATGGAACCCGTACCCCCCTCAACCCGAAATTGGGGTCTTCGGGTCGGGTTTGGGTGGTCTGGTAGGTCGTCAGCTCGGGGCCTGCTCCCCGCACAGGTCTTCTCCAGGAACGCGGTGACGGCCTGGTCCACAGGCGCGCGCGCGCGCCCGCGTCGGGCTGCCGGGGGGGAGCCGGCCGCCGCCCTCGGAGGGCTCCGCGTCCTCCCCCCCTCGCTAGCTCGTGCGTCGGGGGGGAAGACAGCACACAGACACAATGCATCGCCGATCCCCGAGAGGATGTGGGAAAATAAAGGGATTGGGCGGGAAGACCAAAACCCAGAACATCTAGGAAGATATGGGAATCTTTTTCTGTATTTGTGTGTATTTATTTGTGTGTCCTTGGGTCCCTGGAGTGCGGCTCGTGCCGCTCTTCCGGGTCGGCACGCTCGCGGCAACAAAAGCGCGGGAGCGGCGCGTGCGCCCGCAGGTTGCCGTTGGCACCTCTGGGGGACCTCGCCCGTCCCCGAGCGCTTGTGTCTTTTCCGGTGCCCGGCGCGGGCTCGTCGCGGATTTGTCGCGGACTCGACGGATTCGGCGCGGATTCGACACGCATCCGATGAGTCCGACATGGATCCGGCAGGTCGCCGACGCGGACGGGACCGCGGCGGGATAGATGGGGTCCCCCGAGGATGCAACACAACGTGGGTCCCTGGCCACGTCCACCGGCAGGACGCCCCAGCAACGGCCGCCCGCATGGGCCGCTCATGCAGCAGTCATTCGTTTCGTGAGCGCCCTGCTCCTTTCCCCCGCTCCGCGGCCGCCCTTCGCCCGGCTTCTCGGGCCGGACGAAAGGGGGGGATTGGGAAAGGGGGGGTTACGAAATTTGCTGCATGCAGCTGGATTCGGCCTCACCGAGGGGCCCATTCCTCGATACATAGCCGCCTCCGGCGCCAGGAGGCGCCAGGAAAATCAGCTATGTGAGCTGATTCTCACCCCCCCCCTTTGCTATCCCCCCCTTTCGCCCGACCCGAGTTTTTTTTTCTGATTGCAGGACAACTAGCACTCCTCTGCCCCAGCCACCAGAGCGCGCAACGCAAGCGTACTGCCTCGGCCGTGCCGAGGTGGAAAAAGCGTGCCGTTGCAGTTCCGTCTCTAGCGTGCACTAGCGCTTGGCAATCGATGAGGAAGCGCCGATCTAACGCCTACTTAGCGTCGACTCGTGCCGATTTTATCGTCGACTAGCAAAAACCAGTTAAACGGAATCGGAGAACCCACTGATTTTCCACAGGATGTCTGGAAATTGCGGGTACGAAGGCTTGCGCAGCGACTCCTATCCGTTCTGGACAGGATTCGTTGTCGGCATCGCCGCGGGCGCTGTCCATTTAAGACAAAATAGTCGCGTGCCAACAGCGTCCGCTGTCGGTTTGGGACAACATATCGGCGTCACCCCAACAGACCAATATTATGTGTGCGTCGCCCCCCAGTGGCGACGCGCACACCGAGAAATCTTCTAGTATATGCGTCGTGGCGAGCGCGTTCTGGCCATACCGCTCGGGAAACGATATACCACAATATTGGTGTACTATATGTTCGGATCGGACGCACGCCCCCATAGATATGTATGGCCTTGCGCGTCCCAACATATGTTATTGGGCATCGTTGTGTTTTTCAGTATCCAGTTCGTTCGGGGGAAAGACGGGCGACACCACCACCACCACCACCACCACCACCACCACCACCACCACCACCACCACCACCACCACCACCGCCTCTCAGGAAGGGAAGAACCACGCAGACACAATGAATCGTCGGTTCCCAGGAGAATATGGGAAAACATGGGAAGGGGGGAGGGGGACGGTGTGCTCTTGGGCCCCTGTAACCCCAGGGAGCGGAACCAGAAAACAGAAGCGGCCATGAAGCGGCGCGCTCACATAGGCCGCGGACGCATCGGGAGCAGGGAGGGCTGAGGCGCACCTCTGCCAGTGCAGCAGCGAGCTCGGGGCGTGGTGCCTCCCGTCGGAGGGGCCGGGTGCCTTCGGCAGCGAGGACGGGGATGCCTCCCGCGCGAAAGCCCGCCGCCGCGCCAAGTCATGTCGCGTTCGCCTGCGCCGCTGGCGCCCGCGGCGCCGCCCCGCTGGCGGCGCCTCGGTGCGCCGCGGATGGCGGCGGCGGCGGGCCAGGCCCCGGGCGCTGCCGCGCGCTCGCGGCCGCGGGGCTGCTGCTGGCTCTCGGCGTGGGGCGGCCCCTGGCCTGCCGCGCCGCGGGCGCCAGGCGGTGGAGGCGGCGGGCGCGCGCCGCCGCGGGAGCCGCCGCGGCCAGCGGCGGCGAGAAGGCCGTGTGGCTCGTGCGCCACGGGCAGGCAGAGCACAACGTGCGCTTCGAGTCCGGCGACGTGGACGGCTGCCGGGCGCTGCTGGACCCCCCGCTCACGGCCCTGGGGGAGGAGCAGGCGCGAGCCGTGGCGCTGGACCCGCTGCTGGCCCCGCACCTGGCGTGCCCGGCGGGGGAGGGCGTCGAGCTGGCCGTGGCCTCCCCGCTGACACGCACGGTGCAGACAGCGCTGGGCGCTCTGGGCGGGTGGGTGGGCGCAGAGCCCGGTCGGCGCGTGGTGCTCCACGCCGATCTGCAGGAGACCGGCGAGGTGCGCTGCGACACCGGGTCCCCGCTCCCTGTGCTGCGAGGCCGCTTCGCCAGCGCCGGAGCTGCGGTGGACTTTTCCGACCTGCAGGACGGATGGGAGTTGAAGGAGGGCGACTACAGGGACACGGGCGACTGCCTGCGGAAGAGGCTGCAGAGGTTCACAGGGTGGCTGCTGGAGCGTCCCGAGCAGCGCATTGTGGTCATCGCCCACCACAACGTGCTCGCAGCCCTGCTCGGCGTGACGTTCCTCAACTGCGAGGTCCGGCAGTACTCGCTGAGCGTCGACGGCTCCTGGGCTCCCGTGGCGCCCCTGGTGTCTGCCTGCGACGAGGAGCTATCGGCCCGGGACAAGGTTCACCTTCAGGTCTACGATCCGATGGTGCGGCGCAAGTTCCAGGGCTGGTTTGGAGTGGACGCTCCGAAGCGGCTGCGCTAGCGATGGCTCGCAGTGGAACGCCCCTGCAGAGCCGGGGTGTGCCCAACAAAAACAACAACAAACTAGTATAGCAGCAATTGCATATTCAATGGCCCCTGGAGGAAGGAACAACTTCTCGTCGTCGCCTTGTTGCTGTTCCCTACCATCGTACATTTCACCTGGAGTGCTTTTGTTCCAACCATCCTGTGGAGTTTGGTCTTCGTTTTGAATTCGCAGCGCCGCGCGTCTCCTCCTCTCCTCCTCCCCCCTTCCTTTCTTCCTCCTCTCTGGTTCCTCGCCAGCATCATCATCTTGATATCAATCACCACCCTCATCATTATCATCACATGTTCGCCACACCCCTCACACGGTTCGTACCCCCCGGGGGAGCTCCACCGAAGGCCCCAACGAGTGCAGGAGGCCTCATCCTCTCTCCTCCCTTTGCCTTTTCGCATTTCGACTGACCACACACGCTTCGTGGCCCCACAGGGGGCTCCACCGGGGGCCCCAGTGGCAGGGTTCACACGGGTACCCGCCTCATTGCAGACCCCTCGCACGTTCCGTAGCCCCATGGGGAGCTCCACCAAAGGCCCCAGTGGCAGGGTGCACATGGGTACCCAAGAAATTTCGGCAGACCCTTCACACGCTTCGTAGCTTCAGAAAGGACGCTCCGCCGAGGGCCCCGGTGACCGGGTTCACATGGGTATATCCGCCCCATTTCCGCACACCCCTCACACGTTTCGTGGCCCCATCGGCAGCTCCTCCGAGGGCCCCAGTGGCAGCGTTCCAATGGGTACCCGCCCCATTTCGGCACACCCCTCACGCGCTTCGTGGTTCCATAGGCAGCTCCTCCGAGGGCCCCAGTGCCGGCTTCACATGGGTACCCGCCCCAGTTCGGCAGACCCTTCACAAGTTTCGCGGCCCCTATAGGCAGCTCCTCCGAGGGCCCCAGAGGCAGCGTTCACATGGGTACCCGCCCCATGTCGGCACACCCCTCACACGCTTCATGGCCCCATAGGCAGTTCCACCGGGGGCCCCAGTGCAGGGTTCACATGAGTACCCGCCTCATTTCGGCAGATCTTCACAAGTTTCGCGGCCCCTATAGGCAGCTCCACCGAGGGCCCCAGTGGCAGGGTTCACATGAGTATCCGCCCCATCTCGGCAGACCACTCACACGCTTCGAGGCCTCATAGGGAGCCCCACCGAGGGCCGCAGGGACAGGGTTCACATGAGTACCCGCACCATTTTGGTACACCCCTCAAACGTTTCGTGGCCCCATTAGCACAAGCAGTAGCAGTAGTAGTAGGAGTAGTAATAGTCGTAGCAGCAGCAGTCGTAGTAGTAGTCAGAGCCCCGAATCATCAGGGGTAACTCGGGTCAGGGATAACTCGGGTTCGTTTTTCGGGAATCCGAACCCGAGTTACCCCGGACCCGAGTTACCCCGGACAACTCGGGCGTCCAGAGCCCCGAATCATCAGGGGTAATTCGGGTCAGGGCTAACTCGGGTTCCTTTTTCGGGACTCCAAACCCGAGTTACCCCGGACCCGAGTTACCCCGGATAACTCGGGCGCCCAAAGTAGTAGTAGTAGTAGTAGTAGTAGTAGTAGTAGTAGTAGTAGTAGTAGTAGTAGTAGTAGTAGTAGTAGTAGTAGTAGTAGTAGTAGTAGTAGTAGTAGTAGTAGTAGTAGTAGTAGTAGTAGTAGTAGTAGTAGTAGTAGTAGTAGTAGTAGTAGTAGTAGTAGTAGTAGTAGTAGTAGTAGTAGTAGTAGTAGTAGTAGTAGTAGTAGTAGTAGTAGTAGTAGTAGTAGTAGTAGTAGTAGTAGTAGTAGTAGTAGTAGTAGTAGTGTAGTAGTAGTAGTAGTAGTAGTAGTAGTAGTAGTCGTAGTCGTAGTCGTAGTCGTAGTAGTCGTAGTAGTCGTAGTAGTGTTTGTAGCAGTTGTTGGTAGTTAGTAGTAGTAATAGTAGTTTAGTAGTCGTAGTCGTCAGGAGTAGTTAGTTGTAGTAGTGTACGTAGTAGTGTCGTAGTAGTAGTAGTAGTAGGAGTAGTAGTAGTAGTACTAGTAGTAGTAGTAAGTAGTAGTTAGAGTACTTGTAGTAGT